GGGACTCCAGAATCATCACCTGAGCCGAAGGCAGTCGCTTAACCAACTGAGCCACCCAGGCACCCGTTTTAACCAATTCTAAAACTATACTTTTCTTGCATTTCTGTAAATAGACTATATGGTCCTTAAAGATGTAAAGGCACTTCTCTTCAATTGCAGTGGTATTCCCTAAACCAGTGGTTCTTAAAGTGTGATCTGGGGACCCCGGGGGGTTTTCAAGACACTTTCAAGGGGTCCACGAAATCAAAACTATTTAATACTGAGAGGTTACTTGTCTTTTTCCATGCTCATTCTGTTACAAGTGTACGGTAGAATTTTCCAAAGCTTACATGATGTTAACAAATAACAGGTCTACTATTGTTTTTGAAAAATGAACAGATATTTTAACACTTTCTTAGTTTTAACTTCTAATATGGCAAATATCAATAAATATAACTCTTATAAACCCAAGCTTTTAAGGCCCTCAGTAATTTTTTTTAAGTGTGTAAAGGGGTGCTGATACCAAAAAGTTTGAGAACTGCTCTAAACAGAGTAATGCAAGAATGCCTGTATGAAGTGCCCAATAAATGCTTGCTACCTCTTTAGATATATCCTCAAAAGATATTATTTCAGATAATCTCTATACTTGGAAACAGTAAATTTAGTAGTCAGCGGATACACTTCAGTGTACATGACCATTAACTACCTTCTCTTAAGATCCAGGGTCATTTAAAACCCATCACTTGTGATTTAAAATCCATTTTTGTGATTAAAAAACTATTTCATAGGACTTGTTTGAGTAATACCTTAAAACATAGAAAGATCTATCTCTAATGTAGAAAGATTTATCTTAGTGTATACTACAAAAGGTTTCAATCACTTTATTACTTTTTTTGGGTAAGGTTGTTTTACTTCAACCACAGCCAGAAGAAAAATATATAAAACCAAAACATGACTGAAATTTGTATGTTTCTTTAAATAAAATAGAAAGCATGATGTGACATGTTTTCTAAAATTATGCCAGGAAAACAATATGATTCTGTTTCTACAATGAAGTGCAATGTTTTGGATATACCAAGCACAAATTATAAAGGCTTGCGAAGCAGGTCTATAGAAACATAAGGAAAGCCAATCCAAGTTTGCTTTCCTTTCTTGTTAATGTGTTTTAAGTCATATCAGAAGACATAGAGTTTATTTGTAAACAGTTAATTAAGATAACATGTTACTTTTTGAGGGAAGATTAGTATGCTAATTTTAGAAGGCAAAATACTGCTTAGTAAACACCCAGTCTCTTATGGATTAAAGTACTCAACTGAGTGGCATGTTCTAACCATTTAGACTTCTAAAAGAAAAGCTCCTGAAAGAACAGACAACTTTAAGAAACTAAAACACTCATATCATAGCACCTTTATCAATGGAAAAACGGCATCTTCAAGGAGTAGGGTAAACAGTAAGTTGAGAGACTATCTGCAAGGGATATAAAATTAGTTTTGTTAGGAATGCATTATTCAGGCAGAGAGCTCTCTTAGGCATGCTTTGAAAAATCTTTGAATGTACTTTGGTTTTACTGAATGTTTAGGCTGAAGTTCAATGCAATAGCAAAGCTTTTTGTTGTCTTCTAGATATAAGTGATATCTGTGTCTAAAAGCAAGCTCACTAGAATGCATCTGTCAAACATCTTACTAAATCTTTAGATACCAAAGCAGAGATTATACCATCAAGTATCAACAGAACCCAACACGAAGGGTTCTCAAAAATACACAGCTGCAATCTGTCAATGGATTTTGTTTTCTACTTTCAGGCATACCTTGTTTTGTTGTGTTTCACATGCAGACAATCCTTTTTTTTTTTTAAACAACTTGAAGGTCTGTTGCAACCCTGCATTGAGCAAGTCTGCTGGTGCCATCTGCCAACAGCAATTGCTCACTTTGTGTCTCTGTGTCACATTTTGGTAATTTGTGCAATATTTCAAATATTTTCATCATTATTTTATTTGTTAGGGTGATCTGTGATCAGTGATTATGACTCACTGAAAGCTCAGATGATGGTTACCATTTTTTAAGCATTAAAGTATTTTAAAGATCTTTTTAAAATTTATTTATTTGAGAGAGAGCAGGAGCAGGAGGAGGGGCAGAGGGAGAGGGAGAAGCAGACTCCCTGCTGAGCACAGAGTCCAACGTGGGGCTCCATCCCAGGACCTTGGGATCATAACCTGAGCCGAAGGCGGACGCTTAACTGACTGAGCAACCCAGGCACCCCTAAGCAATAAAGTATTTTAAAATCAAGGTAAGCACATTGGTTTTTTTAGACAATGCTTTTACACACCTAGTAAACTACAGTATAGTGTAAACATAACTTTTATAGGTACTGGGAAACCAAAAAATCCATTTGACTTGCTTTATTGTGATAGTCACTTTAAAATTGCAGTGATCTGAAACTGAACCCATAAGATCTCTGAAGGATGCCTGCAGTACAAAATCCATTATTCAACGACTAGCAAAGCAGAAAATAAAATAATTAATGTATGTTTTCCAGTAATGAAATGCAAGGTGATGTTAATGCAGATTTTCAGCCAAATCTGAAGGTCTATATAGATCAATAGTTGTAGCCAATCTTTTTTTTTTTTTTTAGTTTAAATTCCAGTTAATGTACAGTGTAATAATAGTTTCAAGTGTACAATTTAGTGATTCAACACACATAACACCCAGTGCTCATCAAGACAAGTACGCTCCTTAATCCCCATCACCTATTTAACTCATCCTGCCCTCCCCCCCGCAACCCCGTAACCATCAGTTTGTTCTCTACAGCTAAGAGTCTGTTTCTTGGTTTGCCTCTCTCTTTTTTCCCCTTGATCATTTTGTTTCTTAAATTCCACATGTGAGTGAAATCGTGTGTTCAATCTTCTTTATTATGGCTATGCATTCTGGTTTTGGCACAAATCATTTATTTAGTCTTTTGACTAGATTTATTCAGGCTTTGGATATAATCAATCAATCAGCACTAAGTAGTGTTAAATATACTAAAGTATATATACTAAAGTAATGCTTAATATAATGCCACTTCCTAGGCTGGAAATACTCAGCTGTATATACTAAGCAACTAGCATGTGGCTTAACTGAAGAAATGGTGAGTAGGATGAATAGGACTGGGAACCAAAACTGACTGAGGTCATCAACGCACTATAGTAGATGGGAGGTTTGGCAACTGCAGCAATACAACCAATTACTTTATGCTCCTAGTTGCGCAGTCATCATTGAGAAATTATCAGCACAATGACTTCCAGAATGGACAGCAGGCATGAATGTAACCCTTCCTGTGTGAGTTATGCATGCAGTACTATACAGATTAGCACTGGACAAGGGGTGAGGAGGAGAGCAAAGGAAAGATGAAAACAAGCTAGGAGATAAAATTTAAAAAGGCACTTGGGATATTAGTACTGTGGGTACCAGAGAAAGCCGACCACCTATCTGGTAAGGCTATCAGAGATGGTTTGGTTCATTTTGCACAAACCAGAGGCACAAGCAGCAATACCACTAACAGGTCTCTCACCTAGATTGTCTTTTGAAAGGATCAACAGAATGAAAAGTCTCTGAAAAGATTAGGTTCCTGATTGTAGAAACAAGTAGTATGCATAAAAAGTGTGAAGAAACTGTTGCCTGAGTGGGAAAGGGATGTTGTTTAAATGTTTCCAGGAGAGGGCGCCTGGGTGGTTCAGTTGGTTGGGCGACTGCCTTCGGCTCAGGTCATGATCCTGGAGTCACAGGATCGAGTCCCGCATCAGGCTCCCTGCTCGGCGGGGAGTCTGCTTCTCCCTCTGACCCTCCCCCCTCTCATGTACTCGCTCTCTCTCATTCTCTCTCTCTCAAATAAATAAATAAAATCTTTAAAAAAAAAATAAAATAAATGTTTCCAGGAGAGGACTAGAAGCACTGTCTGAAACTCCAAGTAAATAAAAGTACTGTATGTCATCAGAAGGGGCTGCTAGGATGAAGATGAAATAAATGCTCTATGAAATATGTGACTATTAGCACCAAGCTCACACTAGGGCTGAAGTGAATCAACACTCACTTCTGAAATCCAGGACCTTAAAAAGGTTGTTTCCTCCATCACCACCTTTACCCTTGTTTCTTTTGAGAATTTCAAGGATCAATGCTTCCAACTGTTCAAAATTACAATGTCTATGATGAATATAATGTATTTGTGTTTATCTTTCTCTTCTATGGTGACATGCTCATTTTTTAAGTGAGGCTTCAGTAAGAGTGGAAATAGGAAACAAACTTTTTGCCTACTGCCCATGTCCACTTTTGCCTGGGAATCACCAGGCAAAGCCCTTCTGGAGCTCTAACCTCTTAAATCCTGTTGTGTGCGAGCACCGCCCATGCTTTGTCTCGGCATTCGAAGAGAAGTTCTCAAAGGTGTATGTCTCTGCTCATCCAGGTAAGCAAGGTCCTCCAAGTGGGCAGAGCTGGTGGCTGATAAGACAGAAAAGTTTAGTCAGAATATGTAAGTTTAGAAAACTTTCAGTTCGTCTGTATCATCCCAACTTGGGAATCAGAGCTCACTCCAGCATATACATCTACCAAGGGTTTGCTGAACTCACGGTCCTTGTCAGTGTCCCAAACATGTGCCAGGAGAAAAATGTCAAGAGTTGTCTTCAGCTCCTTCAACACTATCAACTGCCTGAACTTATGAAGAGTACTAGCAACAAGTTAGCAAACACATTAGTACCTGAAAACAAAAATTATTAATTTTTTGTTTCTTTGGGGTCACAAATACCATTTGTAGAACAAGGCATAAACACCATCAGTGGAGAAACATGTTCCAAATTATACTGAGCTGTAAGAAAAACATGAAGCTCTGTTTTCAACATTTTCCCTTCATGCTAAAGAATGAAATATGAAAACATTCTGAAAACAATTTTCAAGTGTATATATCTATTGGAAAGATGGGTATCAGGACAACAGATAGAGAACTGCTGAAGAGTCTTTGGGGAACTGCCAATGTCCATGAATTCCAAAGAACACTTAGTTGCTCTCTGAACACAGTCAGGTAATAATGGCCCCCCATTGCATGTATAAACCCTTTAACCCAGACACAACAGGGAGAGGGAAAATGGCATGGGTCCTGGCACTGCTATATACTGAGAGCTGTTGGGAACATTCACAATGAACCAAAAAGTGAAGAAATTAAGAATCAGGAAGCACTGAAGAACAAAACGGTTTTTAACAACAGCAACAACACGCCCAAACTTCTGTCAGAATACAATCAGTTAGAGCTTATAAATTATTAATTAAACTGCTGGTTCAGTTTGTTGTTAATTATGTACGATACTGTGCCAGGGGTTATTCAGTTCTTCAATGGCAATTATTTACCAAGAGCTTACTGTGTGCCAGGCCCTGTTCTTGATGCCCTCCCTGGCTTAGCTGCCAGCTTACCTCTGGTGACTGTTTGAGTGGCTGAGAGGAACCAAAATGAGATCACTCTTAGCTGCAGAGCTCTAATGAAGATAATGTCCATATCCCCAGTTGAGATAAGACACAAACAACAATCTAAGGTGGATTATGACTAAGTGGCACAAAGAAAGTCACAAAGTGCTCTCTGAGCTGAAAAAGTGGGGGGGGGGGGAGAAAAACAGAATAGAGGTAGAGACAGACAGAAAAGAATAAGAGAGAACATGTGCAAGAGACATATACTCCCTTCATCCTTCAACTATTGCAATTACCTCAGTTACTTGGGTCTACTGGAAACCTAGACAAGAGGAACTTATCCAAATTTATAGATATAGTTTCTATGGGAAACAAAAGTCTCTGAAAGCTCATCTAGGGAAGTAAACCAAGAAAAGGAAGTTAAATGCCACATTACACATCAGTAGGAGAGAGCTCAGAGGAATAAGAGATAATCTTGATCTCCGCATTCTGAAATTAAAACTATCCAGAATAGATTACTTTTTAATCTTTTACTTAAAAACACTGGAGGCAATGACTCTTACACCATTCCCACTGGGAGAATAACAGAGGAATAAGAGATAATCTTGATCTCTGCATTTGGAAACTAAAACCATCCAGAAAAGATAACTCTGTGGTTCTGTGAATTAGTTCTTTCTTATGTTTATTAGTCCCTCCTGCTTTAATCAAAGTCTGTTTTCCTTTGTTTGGTTCTTCGTCTATATGTGTGTAGCTATCAAAAAAAAAGGTAAGGAAGAAAAAAAAAAAAGGAGCCCTCAGAATTCCCATCCCCACAGAGCCCTCCTTGGAGGGGAGAAATATTAGCATCAGCTGAGCAGGGCCCCTTACACAGAGATCAGTTTCAGCTTTGTAGGGCCCTTCCTCCAAGTTCCTCTGGTGTAATAACCCCAACCTTTTCTTGTGACACAGACTCTGAGGTGGTAGCTGCTTCCTGCAGTTGCCAAGTCCATGATGCCTCAGTGTTTTCTTTTTCCCTTTCCAGTTCATTTAAACATAGTCAACCATTCTTTACATTTCAGATTTTCTGGTAAAATAACTGTGGTTTCTGTCTCCTGGCTAGCCCCTGACTGATACACTATTGAAAATAACAGAGCAGTAATCCTTTCATATGTTGATGATAAAGCAATACCACAGAATGAAGATGTGAAAGGAATCTTCATCACGGTCACCTAGTCCAAAGGTCAGCACACTAAGGCCTGCTGCCTATTTTTGTAAATAAAGTTTACTGGAACACAGCTTTGCCCGTTCGTTAAGCATTCTTTTACAACAGAGTTGAGTAGTTTTGAGAGAGGTCATATTGGCCTGCAAAGCCTAAAATACTAGCTGGCCTTTTTTTTTTTTTTAGATTATTTATTTATTTATTTATTTGAGAGAGAGAGA